TTTGTTGAAAAGTTTTTTGTTTTTTTTCACGGGACATGCGCTTGACTTCCAATCTGTCTAATTGTTTTTAAAACCAGCAACTCAGTAAACCCCCTTAGATGATGTCAATCAAAATAACTTTTATCTTGTAGGAACTTATTTCGGCCTGCTGGTCGCATGAACCCACCCATCGTCCGGCCATCTCTGAAATCTGTATTGATCTGATGCATCGGGTAAGAACTAAACGGTGAAAAAAACTTTTATTTTATAACACACAGTATTGTCCTTGCTGGAATAAGCGTGTTGAAATTCATAACAAAAACGCCCCCAACGCGTTACTTCATACAACCGATTTAACCTGGACACACACTTCTGGGCCTGTTTAGATTTGGCGCTACAGACCGCAGATGTCACACAATTGCGCGATCCCACACGACATGAGCCTGTAGTGGTTTAAGTGGTGTTTGTACACGGATCACTATAATCATCAAGCCAAATCCTAGGTTGAAGGTAAAGGGCAGAAGTCACCCATGTGAGAGGGATTTATTGTGCACAGAACTTTCAGTTGCAGTCTCAGGCGGCAGTGACCATCGGCGAAGCCGGTGCTAGTGTTGACTGCGTCCAGACTTCTACTGGTACGCACGCGCGCAGCAGACATTCGGAGTACGGACACTGCAAGTTCTTCAACTTCTTACTGTTTACGGTTTGACAGAAAGCTACCATTTCGGAACAGAGGAGTCATATGCTTAAACCAGCAGAGATTTACTGAGAAAGGTGTTTGCTCACAAATTACGTATTTTTGTTTTCATTTTATCATCCCGGAGGCTTCTTGGCTTGCATATATTTTCTTCCATAGGGTGCCCCTCAAAGCGAGCATGCTTTCGCCGACGTCTGCCGAGTTAGCGGTTGTGCCAGTCTCCCTACCCTCAATGCCTAGAGAATAATCGGCCACTTCGACACCACAAGAAGCGACTCGATTGGTGCACACGCCCTCCAGGCCCAAAATGCCTTTCTTTGACATATATTCGCACTTTAAATATACTTTTCTTGCTCCCCATTCACAACCTGAACGGATTTTCGTATAAATAAATGTGAAAATTGCACTCTGACTCATGGCTCCTTTTAGGGCCGGAATAGTGCGTCCAACGGTTCTGTTGGGACCCACCACTATCCGAGAAACATTAAATTTGGGACTTCGCCCGTAGCAACCTTTCTCCTGGTACTGGTCTCGTCGTGCTCCAATAGCGAAACGCAGTCACGACAAAGGGGTTTGAAAACAGAGGCCTTAAGCTTTTGTATTGGTAGTTCGTTCATCGCGAACAGTGAGGACTACAGCTGTTCTGACGGTGCGGTGTGCAGAAGACCTTTACGGAATCTACCAATGTCTCTTCCAACACCTGCCATGCTCCAATAGCAGGGCGAAGTCAAAACAAGTAGAGAGGGGTATGTGAGCTAGGGTTCTGAAGCCGCTACTCCGCACTCAGGAAAGTCTTATTAACTCTACCTCCGGTGTTCTCCCAAAACAAGCTGGCTTATGACGACTTTTATGCCACAAATGGCTGTCCCCATCAGCTTTCAGTTTAAGCACGCCTCCTAAATGCTACTTGTCACTGGATAGGACGCAGGTGACTGGCCTACACGTGTTAGGTCGACCATGGACATCAATTATGTCCACTATATGCCTAAGAGCAAGGACGATGATTGTAGTCAGGTATAGTGAAAGTAGATGAGCAGCAATCTACTCCACTTTAAACCATCTCCCTGTTTTAACCGGTGACAAGACGAAGTCGAGATGACAGAGCAGGAATCGAGCGTAAGCCGCTTTCTCCACTCCAGCCAGAAAAACCCCCTAACTTAGTGTTAAGTGACAGTAGCCTTTTGCGCTGGTACTACTGCACTGTCTTCCCTCATTCACCTATATTAGGTGTCCAGAAAGTTCCGAGAAGCCCAAGTCTCGTATTTCTACAACTGTAACTACTGTTTATACTGCTACTTCTAGCGGTGTATCTGAGTGATTTTATTGCTAGTACTATTACTGACGCTAATATTTGGTCAGAAATGACACAGATTGGAGTCAGATCTGGGCCCGTGTTCCCTCGATCTCAACTAGAAGTGGGGACTTGGATTTCTGCTATTTCGAGTAGAGTAGCTGTTTTAGGTTTGGCGCACATCAATTCTCATCTGGCCTAAACGAACGTGTGCCAACAATGCTCCTCATATTCTTCGGCATGATGTATAGGAGCACAATCCGATGAACACCTACTATGGCCTGATCTAGCCTCCGTGTTGATCCAGCTCATCTACCATACAGCTCGTCGAATGGACAAATATAGCCAAACTGACATTTCGACCTTCGCTCTCTACGATGTTTACTACGAGCTTCAGCAGGCTGAAGGCAGACGCGGTGATTGCAGCTGAATTATAGGGAAAGTAGGCTCGCAGGGTCTACCTCATTCTCTCACCACTTCCACACCTGAACCCGATGTCAAAACATAAGTCAAGAAGACCGGAGATGGGCAGGGTGCAAGCGGTGTGCGCGAATGCACTTTAACACGCACCACAACAACACCACGATGCTATGGAGGCTCCTGTGTATGTGGGAGCGCCATAAAGGTCACATTAAGAAGGAGCCACTGCAGCCTCACCTTCAGCCCAC